CAACTCCCAGAATTCCCATGCTGGCTGGGGAATTCTGGGAGTTGAAGTCCACGTGTCTTGAAATTTGCCAAGGTTGAGAAACACTGTGTTAGATCATTATTTGCAAGTAACATTTTCTTGTTTTGGATGTGGCTGGTGAAAGTTTGATCCTAGGTAACCCTACCCGACTCTCCCCAAAACTTTCAGCATTTCTCACCTTTCTTCCCCTCACTCAAATAGTCAGACTTGCTGAGATGGACACAAACTAGATAAGAGACTTTGATTAACAGAGCTAGGAAGGTACCAATATTCAGGAAAGGGAACCAATGGAAGCAGCTAACAGCCTCTGAGTAGATGAAAGAGACAGTATAGAATTTATAGCCATTCCTGCTTCAACTTTTCTGCTCTTTTACCATGCACATCCCTGTATAGAGACACTTGGGCCTCTGTTTTCTGTTCCACTTCAGCAGACATGTCAGTTGGTATAGACTTGCTAGACATTCACCGTTCAGTAACAGCAAATGCTTGGTAGACTCACCATAACTAGAGGTAGATTTATAGCAAAAAAGAAAGAAGTTACATGTATACAGGGGACCTACCTGATGCTGAACATGGGAATCAAGCCAGATATCTATGTTAGGCTTGATTCTAAATACCAAGAGAAGAGAATGGTTGATCCTTTGATGTCAACTGACTCTTAGCCCTTCTTAGCCTAGCCTTGAGAATTGAAGACATCTGCTCCATGTTTACACAACATTTCTGTCTGGCCTGAGAATTGTTTATTCCTGCCCCACCAGCTTCAGCTGTTACATTTCTCATGTTCCCTTGAACCATCAGGCGAAGGCAGTTGCATGTTTACATTCTTGGCATTTCTGCTCTGAGAATCTTCATGAGAACCTCCTGTCGCTAACAGAATCTTGACGCAGATCAGGAGAAATTAAACATCTTTTCTTGTTGTATTCTTATGTACGTGTTCTTTACTGAACTAAAGATTAGTTGAGCTTGATATTTGACAACAACTTGGACACATCCATGCAAGTTTTTCTGCAACTATATGGACAGGATTTCATGTTGCCTTCTCTCAGGGTGTGTTTTTTCCTTTTTAAACTTTGCTTTATTTTATGCCTCTCTCTTTTGAAGTAAACTGCTCTGTGTTTGACTGGGGTTACTGCCAAGTAAATAAGCATCAGAACCCAGCCTTCACTGAATTTTTGATGCTAAGTTTTTCTGTCTCACCTCTAAGTCTTCCTGCCCTGTTGATGTAGCCGATAGCCAGGGAAGGACCGCACTCCACCACGCAGGTAAGTTCCAGAAGCATCTAAGCTGCTACTCCCCAGCCATGAAAACATTTTATTGTCTGAAATACAAGTGGATCTGAAGGGGGAGCAGAGATCATGAAGGTCAAAGGGCCAGAAGTCTTGGCATCGGTTGCCCAGATCACACCTGCTTCTCCTTGTCACCTGCAGCACCACCAGCAGTGATAGATTTGTGAGCAAAGTGCCTGGCGAATCACAAGTCAGAGGAAGGGGAACATAACACAGATGTTTGCCCAGCTCAGGTTAAGGCGAACTCTTGACTCCTGAAATGTGCTTGGTATGGAGCTATCCTTGAATATGATTGAATATGTGCCATCAAGTCCTTGTCACCTCTTAGCAACCGCATAGATAGATTTTCTCCAGGAGGATCTGTCCCTAACCTGGTCTTTCAGGTCTTCCAGTGTAGGTCTTCCCATCGCCACTGTAACTGAGTCCATTCCCCTTGCAAGATATTGGCGTTAACCTCTAACATCCTACATCTAACCACCACCTGGAGGCTACAACTGGTCCTGAATATGGTGGTGCATGCAGTGTTGGGCACTGCTCTGTCCGCCCACGTTGTGCAAGCTGCACTGGCTCCCAGTCTCTTTCTGGGTGCAATTCAAGGAGCTGGTTATCATCTTTAAAGCCCCGCATGTCATAGGGCCAGGTTATTTGTGAGACCGCCTCTCTCTGAGGGTATCTGCCCGTCCCACCAGATCAGATAGCTCCAGGTCCTTCCCTGAAATGTTGCCATCCAGTGGGAGGCAAGAAGCGTGCCTTTTCTGTGGCAGCCCCTGTCCTGGGGAACACCTTTCCTCTTGAGATCTGGCAACCCACCCCCCTCCTTAGCTTTCTGGAAAGCTGTAAAGAGTTGGGTCTTCCCCGAAGTGCTGGGACAGGGTGAGGCTGAGCCTGAAGATGGTGCTGTTGCTGGCATCGGAGGAGAATGGCTAGGCGCCAGGTTTTTGCCTTTTATTTCTATTGGTTTTGGGTTTCTATTGCCGTTGTGAGCTGCCCAGCGTTGTGTTTTCCATGATGGGTGGCTGTGTAAGTCTGATAAATAAATCCTAAATAAGTCTTAGGCCAGAGGTTCCCAAAAGTTCTCAGTTCACGGCACTTTTAGTGTTGCAAGATATGACGTTACAAATGGATGTCGCAAAAAAACCCCAACTCCTGTGGCACCCCTGTGAGTGCCCAGTTTGAGAACCATGGGGTTAAATTGGCTTGCTGTGGGTCATTCCCATAACAACGTATTTGGGCATGAGAAGAGACCACTGTTTCTCAACCTCAGCAACTTTAAGAGGTGTGGACTTCAACTCCCATGGCTGGCTGGGGAATTCTGGGAGTTGAAATCCACACCTCTTAAAGTTGCGGAGGTTGAGAAACACTGGAAGAGACCCTTCTGAAAATTCACCCAACTCTCTTTCTGGAAAGGGCCTTCTCAGTGCATTTTGGCCAACGTTGTGTCCAAATGCCACAAATGGTCTGGGAACACTGGGGCCTGCAAGTGTTCCCACCTCATTGTGGAAGCAAACAGCAACAACTCCTTCCTTGTTTTATACTTGTAAGATTAATCTATTGTTTTTCCCTTTGGAAAGAACACTCAGGGCCATTCAGGGGTGTCCTCAGGAGGGTCCTCAAAGTCAACACGGTGGCCACAACTGAGCAATGATAGCCCTGCTCTCTTTTTTCCTCAAATCACCCTTGGAACTGCCTGGGACAATTCATATCCTGGATTGGAAGTTGCATCCTTCCCCATGAAGTTTCAAAGTGATCGTGCTCACAACTCACAACGTGAAGGATTTTTGAAGTGTCAAAAGCAGGATGTTTACTTACAAAAAAATCCCAACAATTATCCATGAACATGGATGGATTCTCATTTGGTTTATCTTTCTGTTAAAACGTGTTCCTTTCTCCTCCTTTTTTTCCAGCCATCCATGGATCTATCTCTTGTTTGGAAATCCTTTGTGACTTTAAGGCTTCCTTGAACATGAAGGATCAGGTAAGAGCCTGCTGGACCCCCGTCAGGCTAAGCTGACAAGTTTCTGGGGTCTCTTCACTTTTGCTTCTATTGTTCTCGCAACCAGATAAAAGCACTCACTAACCAGGGTTACGACCATGCTGTGATTCTGAATGAGCACTGAAAACCTATCCAAAGGGTCTACGAGCATTGTCCTTCTTCTTGACTGTTTTCGTGTAGAACAAAATGTGTAGCCTTCTGGAATTGGAAAAATGGTACTTGAAAACGTGTGAGGCAAGGTGAAAAAGGACTCTACCATTGGCTGTCTCATGCTTGGAGGAGGAAACATATTGATTGATTATTGGTTGATTGGTTGATTGATTATGTGCCATCAAGACAATTTTGACTGCTAGCGGCCACATAGATGTTCTCCATATTTTGCAGAACTATAATAGGAAAAGTGACGTTGCTTTGCAGCAGAACTTACATAAGAATATAAGAACAGCCCCGCTAGATAAGGCCATCTTGGTCCAGCATTTTGTTACTCATAGCAGCCAACCAGATGCCACTGGGTTGCTCGCAAGAAGGAGAAATACCCATTCACACCATTATGTCCCTGCAATTGGTATTTGGAGTCATGCTGCCCCCAAGATGGGGGGGAAATGGAAGGCTCAACAGGCTTGTCTTAAATGAATTTATTCAGCCAATGATCTCCTATGTATCATGACGTCATCTCACGAATGGCACATGTGATGCTACGGTGAGTTATACCTGATCCCTCGAACAGGGAGTCTATCTGATCAAAAGTTTGGTCGCCAGTTGTTGAACACTCAGTTTTGTCCCCATATGTTTCATTTGCACAATCAAGTCAATTTTCTAATAACTCGATCAATATTTCCCCTCCGCAGCAAAATTTCAAAACAGAACACAAAGAATACTGCCCTTACTCCTTCATCTAAAGGAAACCAAATACATTTGTAAAAAACCCAGCGATTTACACTTACCCAATCTACACAAACTTACATACAAAACTTAAAAAACCAAGAAGAATGAAAGAAAGGTTGGAGCTTTAGATCTGAGTTCCATCTCATGTGTTTTATTGGTGTAGAAACCCAGTAAAAAATATGTGGTCCTCAAAGAGTCTACTCTGAAGGCTCTTTGAGATTTCCAAAACTTTCAGACCATTTCTAGAATTCTCAAGTTCAAAGGCCTTGAGGGCATCTAAACCAAGCTCTTACTTCATTAAAACTTCCCCCAGGTAGATGGCTATGTAGCCTCTCTTCACATCCAGCAACAGGAAGTCCACCACCTCTACAGATCGTTGCTTGCACCATCAAGTTTCCCTTTCTGTTGGGAAGTTTTTCTAACACTCAATCAATATCTGTTTTCCTGTAATTTCAGTCCATGATTCCATCTCCTTCTCTGTTATGGGGGCTGGCCTTTCCTCTGTGGGACATCCTTTCATGTTGCTATCATATCTTCTTAAGTGTTCTCCTCCTTCTCCTTCTCCTTCTCCTTCTCCTTCTCCTTCTCCTTCTCCTTCTCCTTCTCCTTCTCCTTCTCCTTCTCCTTCTCCTTCTCCTTCTCCTTCTTCTCCTTCTCCTTCTCGGAAAGAAAGGAGAACTTTCAAGAACTTCCGCATGGATGTTTTCCACTTAGTGGTTATGAAGTTGCTATAACCAAGATACAGATGTTTTAACTGACCAGGCAATGTATTCCCTTCTCTCTCCTGGCAGGATGGGGCAACTCCTCTGATGCTGGCTGCCAAGATGAACCACTCTGAGCTCTGCCGCTACTTGCTACACCGAGGAGCAGCTGTTAATGCAAGAGACCAGAAAGGCCGGTGAGAAAACTGTTGGGAGACAAGGAGAGGGAAGAGCTGGGAGTGGCCTCCCTTTTTCCAAATGATATGATAGTTCAGACGGATGCCTCGCTTAGCTCAGCATCACAGTCAACCCACGTTTTCAAGTTGTTCTTTTTCATCAGTTCTGATAGAGACCAGATTAGGACAAAGCTTGTCCACATGGATTGCCCGGTGTGGTGTTTAAGATGATCAACACTTTAGTCTGCAGGAAAAGACTTATGGGCCCAATAGCACCCCTACTGTCAGGTTCAGCCCAAAGAACTCCATAAACTGTTGCGTTTATTAGCTTCCACCTCAAGACAGAATCTCTCCAGACTGAACCTCAGTTCCCAAGCCAGCCAGCCACAACACCATGAATTCCTTAGGGTAGTGCCAGTCTCATCTTCTTAAACTTCCCACGCTCCTATTGAGGGCTAAGGAAACGCTTATTTCCCTGAGCCTGACCTTCATAACACCATTCCATCACACCTACAGCTTTCCACAACTGCATTCATCAAAATCACGTGGTAACCCCCTAAATTAGAATGAGAGAGTTTGGTATGCTAGCAAAATAGATTCATTAAAAAGGAGGCAAGGAAAGGGACATTCAGACCTTGACGTCTTTAGTAGCATCATTATGTACCATGATGGTGCTTAGAACCAAACAAAGGTTAGGCAGATGTGCCCTCTGGCAACTGAACTGTTGCCTGTCTCTAGTTGATTAAAACTGGCTGGCTAAATTCATTTCAAGTTTATGACTCTTCCTTCGAGGTTGAATTTCCCCTTTATGCCCTTTAGGGATTTTCATTCTGCTTTTTCCATTCAAAGAAGAAGCTGAAATATATATATATATTTTAATGTAATAGGAGTAAAAGGAATGAAAGCATTAATTTTTTTTAAATAAACCCTAAAAGTAACAAGAAAGACACCAGAAACTAAAATTGATTGATTGATTGATTGATTGATTGACTGACTGACTGACTGAATTTGTAGCCTGCCCTATTGGAGATGACTCTGCGCAGCTTCACAAAACTAAAAGGAGTATACAGTATAGATTTAATCATCTATAAATGAAATGAAGCCACAGCAGAGTCAAGCACTCTGTAATAAGAAATAGCAGAAACGTGTAAATAGGAGAAATCTTAAAATATGGATCTTGTTGCTAACTGAGTGGCTAAGTGACTTGTTTAATGTATGCACATAGGCTGGGTCTGTGACTGACAATTTGAAGGATGCTGTTCATGTTCCCCTGTTGGAAAGATAGCAAGAACGAAGGCAAAATCTTCAGGGGGAATTAGTTTGTTAAGTGTGCCAGGGAAGGTATTTGATAGAATTCTGCTGGAAAGGGTCTAAGACGTGAGAATGAGCAACATTTGGGAACTGCAGTGTGACTTGGCACCAGGCAAGGGTTGGGAGGACCAGATTTTTGCTCTTTGGCAGGTCACTCAGAAATGCACGAATGTGAGAAAGTTATCATGGTTCTTGAATGAGCAAATGATTCACCAATGAGCAGGGAGTAAGATAGAATTGCAAGGTGGGATTGTTTAATGCATTTATGGATAAATGTGTAAAGAATGCTATGGATAGATCGAGATGTAAACTAGATTTAGCTATATTTTCTTTTCTTTTTCTTATCTCATGCCTTTAATTTCTTTTGACCAATGCTTCTCATTTTTCTTCTGTGTTTTGCCTTCCACTGCTAACCCTAAAAGGGAATTTATAGTTATTTGTTTATTGTATTTATATCCACTGCAACTGTGAGATTCTTGGCACTTCACGATAGCATGGTGGGTATGTATGCATGTACTAGGAAGCCACTGTGCGGAACTGGATGAATGTGATCTCCTGTAGGTGGATTAAAGAAGATTTTCTACGATGACAGCTGGAGTTTGTTTATCAAATTGTCAAAGTGGTTCATGCCTTGATGTTAAGCTTTTGAAACATCTTCAGATTCTCCTCCAGCATAGCTCTTTGGGAGGCTTCTTCCAGAGAAGTCTGGTTGCTTGTGAAAATGGCAGTGTGGAGACCAGGAACCAAGAATGAAATTCACATGTGAGGAGATAGGCTTCAAATAAAGATTTACAGTAAAGAGGTCCAATCCCTCAGCACTTTCTTCCAGTCAAAATCTTGAACTGGGCTGGTGGGACGTGTCAAGCCACTTCTTGTGGAACTTTTCTCTTGCACGTTTTGAGACATTAAATATTGAGACATTAAAAATTGCCTTGGGAGAGTGAATCAAAGGTGCATATGATCTGATGTAGCATTTCCAGCAATGAACAATGATTTGCTGGCATGGTGGTATTCAGCCCTGCCCTGGCCTTGAATATGGCAGTCCATTACAAAGCTGATCCTTCAGAGAAGAGCTGAGCATGTGAATGGGTTTACAAGGAAGGAGGCCAAAGTACTGGCCTACAAAAATATTCACTAACCTCTTGAAAGATGGCCAAGAATGAAGCACTCTGCTTCTTCTGAGAACAAGGTAGAACTTCCAAGATACGCTGGCATAGAATTCCTTGACAGCTCTGAAAGGCTGCCTTTAGATACAGTCTCAAGGTTTTCATATTCAAAGACCCCAGTTAAGTAAGACTTGTCCTGGGTAGCATTTTTGAGGGTTACTTCTGTAATACTACCCCTGGAATCAAAACCCTACTCCTTGGATTTATGGTGCCTGTCTTTGCTTCAGAACAGCCCTGATGGTTGCTTGTGAGAATGGCAGTGTGGAGACAGTTGAGGCTCTTGTCCACGGCGGGGCACGGGTTGGCCTCATCGATGCCACAGGCCGCGATGCAGCACACTACGGAGCCGCGACGGGCAATGCTCTCATTCAGCACTATCTCCAAGATGCTGCCCAATGCCACTCTTGGGCCAGTGGTAAGGCCCCCCATGCTCATTCCCTGATGCTGGTCCTACTGAAGAAAGAGGGGCATTGTCTCTGAGTTCCCCAAATAATTGGGGCAGGGTATTTGAAATAGAAGTCTGGATTGGTCAGGAAGAAACTCATAATGACCTTTAGCTGGATTGGAGATGGGTTTCTTCCACTTTGGTGATCACTTCTAAGGACTCTTCACATCATAGAATCATTGATGGCAGGACCTCAAAAGTCAACTAGTCTAACTCCTGCTTGGTGGAGGATCTGCTAAGCATTTTGGACAGAGGGCTATCCAGGCTTTGTCTGAAGCCCTCCAGTGAAGGAGAACATACCACTTTCTGAGGCAGCCCTATTTCACTGGTTGGCAGCTCCTACCATCAGGACTCTCCACCCAAACTCTCCCCTGAATCTCCTTCCTTGTAGCTTCAACCCACTGCTTCTCTTGCTGCCCTCTGGGGTGGCCGAGAACAACTCTTCTCCCTCTTTCGTATGACGGTTCTTCCAATGTCTGCTGCCATGTCTCCCCTCTTCTGCAGGCAAAACCAACCAGACCCCGCCCTAGTTTCCAGCCCCTCACCCATGTGGGAGCTGTAATAAGCAATTGTTTGCTCGTATCCTAAGGGGCGTCATGTACAGAGACCCCTGACAGACCTCCAGGCAGCTGCAGGACTTTGGTCTCTAAAAACCCCTTGCCCTATTTTAGTCATTCAGCGGTTTTGTGGTTCAGGGGGCTTTGGGCTGTGGGAGGAACCTCTGTGGGTGCTCAGTCCCAAAAATTGGATGGTTCCTTGCCAACCTTTTAATTCTATCTTGAAATATCCCTTTGATCTTTTTGTCTTTTTTGCAGAAGAACAATCATCTGATCTGTCTTCTCAGGTAATCTTTCCCATTCCACAAGGGCAGATTGGCACCAGCTGCTGGGAGATCAACTCTTAACGCTCCTTCCTTCCTTCCTTCCTTCCTTCCTTCCTTCCTTCCTTCCTTCCTTCCTTCCTTCCTTCCTTCCTT